TACATACACACACAGACACAGAGAGAGAGAGAGAGAGAAAGAGAAAGAAAGGAAGAAATGAATAAATAAAGAAAGAAAAAAGAAAGAAAAAGAGAGAGATGAAAGAAAGAGATGAAAGAAAGAAAAAAAGGATAAAGGGACAGAGAGACAAAAGGAAGGAAAGGCAGAGAGAGAGAGAGAGAGAAAGAGAAAGAAAGGAAGAAATGAATAAATAAAGAAAGAAAAAAGAAAGAAAAAGAAAGAGATGAAAGAAAGAGATGAAAGAAAGAAAAAAAGGATAAAGGGACAGAGAGACAAAAGGAAGGAAAGGCAGAGAGAGAGAGAGAGAGAGAGAGAGAGAGAGAGAACACGTGGCCGGCAAGCCACTCCCACCAGGTCACATGGCCGGCAAGCCACTCCCACAAAGGCCACACCCACAGAGTAGGTTCCAAAATTTTTGGAAACCCACCACTGTCGTGGACTAATATCATTCTCATTTACTTGCAATTGCTTTGGGCTACTACAGCTACTGAATCCCACAAAATTGCAATTCTATCATTAAAATCAATGAAAAGTCAGTGTTTTTAACAACAAAATCCTTCCAGATCAGATCAAAGACCCATTTAAATGACTGTTTCTCAAGCTCAAATCATTACAAAGGCTGCAAGTCTGGTTAATTAGGCCAAAGGCTATACCACTGAGGTCTTTTCGTATATTGATAGAACTGTCTCTTAAAATCTTGCGATGTTCGTCAAAAAGAATGCAGCACACAATTGCACTACACCTCTCCCATTCTCTTAATTAACAGGTGTACAAGAAGGCTACCTCTATCTTTCTGAAGAGCAGCCTTTATGTGAACTGGGATCTGTGGAGAGCATAGTGCAAGCAGAGCCTGCCTGCTCTCTCGTTCAGCAAGATGCAAAGTGAGTGGTGTGAAGCAGTGGCAGGCATTCACAATAGTGAATTTTAGCAGCCATAATCATGGCTGTCTCGTTTTGTTAACACTGGGGTTTGGCATGTAGCTTCACAGTGACCAGCTACAACAGGGAAAGCATTATCCCACCCCATTCCTTTCACAGCTGGTTCCAGGTTTGCAGATCCCACCACCATTCTTCTACGCACGGCCTCCCTTCCAGCTTGAGGTGCCCTGGGAGGGTGCGGGAACACGGCCATCACAGCTAGGGCAGAGCGCAAAACTTGATCCTCTTGCCATTCATTGCTGCAGCTTACCAATTTAGAATATGATACGCCAGATAGGGTAGGGCATCTGCACTTAGCTTTGCATTGAGTTGCCTTCACAGCCAAGACTGTGTCTCATTCTCATTGCTGCACACCTCCTAAGACTCTAGAGGGAAAAACACAGCTCCATGCCTGAGTTGGGCTCTGAGAGTGCAACTGTCAGCATTCCAAGTATCATGTAGATTTAAATCAGAGTCCAAGGCAAAACGATCCTTAAAGTTCCAATTTAATAAA